GAGGGCTCCGTCAGGGACATGGGGACTGGCAGGCGGTCAGCCGCCGAGGCGGCATGGGCACCAAAAGTCAGGGGGCCGCCCCCGCGGCCACCCGCCCAAGGCCCCTGCCCGGCAGCCGCGGCGGGGCCTGAGGCGCGGGCCCTGCTCCCAGACCGAGGTGGCCAGTGTTCACCGAGCCCACTGTGGGCCAGCCCCGTGTCCACTGAGCGCCCACCACACGCCACGGCCCAGAAACCAGAATGCCGGCTGCCCGGAGCAGCTCGCCCAGGAAGGGGCCTCCCAGGCCCCGCACAGGCCTGTGTGTCCGTGCGGCGCGCACACGGGTACCGTGTCTGCGGCCCGTGCCTCTGCTGGCCTGTGTGCACGTGGGCTCCCGGGTAAGCACGGGTCTCTGTGTGCGTGGCTGCCTCTCCCTGCTGCCGGCCACACCCAACACATGGCTTCACAGCGCTGGGGGAGCGGGCGTGATCACAAGGCCCTGGGGTCAGAGGGCGAGGCGCTGGGGATGCTGGACCCAGGTGCGGGGTTCCCGTTCGGCCATGGTCCGTGCCCACTGCCCGCCCCCCCCTCAGCCTGTATCCTCGGCTGAGGCCACGGAGCCCCTCAGCGGCCGGAAGGAACCCAGACCGAGTCTGTCGGCCTGGTGCCTCTGGACTCGAGGCAGGGACAGTGGAGTGTGCTGGGAAGGACACTGCAGGTGTCAGGAAGGACTGGGCCATCTCCCGGCCAGCACCGGCCAGCGCTGGTGGCTGCGGCAGCCCCTGTACCACTGGACAAGCGTGGGGGTGCTGGGCTCTCAGGCACAGTCACCCCATCAACTGTACCCCCAGACCAGAAGAGGCAGCCATGGGCACCTGCCGCCCCTCCCGGGGGCCGGCTTCCGTGACCCCGCCCGCCAGCCACCAGGGAGGCGCGTCCACCCCACGCTGCAGCCACTCCAGGCCGGGAGGGCCGGCCGCCTGCACGCTGGCCTCGCAGCTGTCCCTGGGTGCCTCGCACGGGCTGTGGGTGGCGTGTGTTTTTAATAACCAGCCAGTGTTTCCTCGATGTGCGGCCAGGGCTGCGGCCGGGGCCCGAGAGCGTCCGGGCTCTGCCAGACCCGCGGCGCTGGCTTCCCCTCGGCATCGCCCACCCCGGGCGCCCCCGGGCCCTCGCGGGGCGCCAAGCCCCTCGCCACTCATCCGTGGTACTGGGGTCCAGGCTCCTCAGGACTCCCTGGTAGGGACAGGTCCCAGGTCCAGTCTCGGACTCCAGTGGTGTCACCCCAATCCTGCTGGGGGACTGGGGTGTGAGGGACAGTGATACTGGGCACCTTCCCTCTAGGACCATGAACAAAAAGGGGGGGCTGGAGGTCACGGGAGGCCCTCCCGGCCCACCCACTCTCACGCACTCTGCCAAGCCCACCCTGCCAAGATGCAAGCCCACTCCCCAGCCTTCCGGGACCCACGTCCTGCCTCTGCTCGGGTCCCCCACCCACCATGCCACTCCCAAAGTCCCCAGCCAGCCCCTCCTCACCAGCCTCCCACCCTCACGCCAAGAAGGGCTTTGAGACCACCTCTCCCCAGTCCCCAGATTGTCTCCAGGGCCCCCCAGACTCTCATCCACAGGGAGGGGCTGCAGGACCCACAGACAAGGGGCCTCCTGAGGCCCCCCCCCAGCCCAGCCAGGGTCCCAGCCTCACTCCCAGGCAGACCCTGTCTGCCACCTGTCACTGCCTGAAATCCCACCATGCACAGGGGCCTCCCAGGCTGCAGGACAAAGAGAACATCCCCCAAGCCCGCCAGTGCCCTGGGCCTCCCGGGCTGACACACACCTGGGCACACACGGACACGTGCAGCTTCTCAGAAAGCACAGGGCGGGACAGTGCCTGGCCTGAGAGGCAGCGTCCTCCTGCTGAGGATCGTCAGCCCTAACGTCATCCAGGGGGCACAATCGGGGGTGAGTCCGACACCCCCCCAGGACCCGCCAGCCGCGCCGGAGTCTCTTCCAGCCCAACCCCAAGCCAGGCAGGAGAGCTGGAGCCACACGCGGGTGCAGGACTGGACCCTCCTCCGTCACTGCAGAGAGAAGGGACAGAGCCAAGTGCTGCCAGACGGCCGGAAGTGTGGCCCCGGGGCGGCCCCGTGAGCAGTGCTGGGGGACAGTCAGGCTGGAGCCAGCCTTATCCTAAAGCAAACAGCCCCTCCCCCACCCCTGCAGCCAGCCTAGGCCAGGCCAGGCCCCTGGGCGCCCCCACACCCGCCTCTGCAGACCCCGGCAACGGGAAGCCCGGACCCCACCCCCGGATTCCTGGGAATGCTGGCCGCCAGCTCAGCTGCCGACGCTCTGTACTTAGCATGGGAGACTCGAGCTCTCATTGCGCCACCTGGACAGGTGTCCAACCCGCCCACCAGGGAAACTGAGGCAAGGGCCGAGGCCGGCAGGCTCCGGGAGTCTGAAAGCTCCCAGCAGGGCCGTGGGGGCCCTGGCAGCGGCACCATGGCCCCCTCTGGGGGCCCCCCTCCAGGAAGGCTTGGACCCTAACATAGCCCGTGTCACAGCCCTGGGACGCCTCGGGCAGAGGCAGGACGCAGGCAGATGGGGGTAAGTGGTAAGCGGAAGCTGGGTCAGGGTCTCACCCCTCGATGGGGGTGGGGGGCAGGGAGGGAGTCACCACCCCTCTCCTGTCTCTTTCTCCCCCCTCTCCCCAGCTATGAAGGCCAGGTCAGGAACGGGGGTGCAGGAGGGGCTGGGGTGCGACCTGGAGGCCCTACACCCAGACCTTGGCCAGGCTGCCACGCTGAGCAGACCCTGTCACGCCATCCTCCAGACACTGTCCCCCTAGACCCATACGCCATCCCCCAGACACACCACTGTCCCTCAGCCTTTCACACACACACCCCCACCCCAGGACACCTCTGAGCACCTGAGACCCCCAGGCCCACCCCCTCGCCGCACCTGGCCAGGAACTCAGCTCCCCTGGGTTTAGTAAAACGAGATCCTTCTGTAAGTCCAGAGAGTGTCTCCCCGCCCCACCCCAATGGGCCCGGGGGAGGGTGCTGGGGTGGAGAGAGGGGTGACGCGTGGGAGACAGATGGGGACAGGCCGCCGGGGGGCCGCCCCACCCTTGGCATTGCGACTGGGGGCCTCCCCTCCTCCAGGGGCTCCCTGCCCCTTTCGGGGACGTCTGAGAAGCACACAAGTCCTCACTCTGCTCGCGGTCTGTCAGGGGCCCGGACTCAGGGGCGTCAGCCTCCACCTCCTCTGCCCAAGGCAGTCTGTGGGCCCTGGCCTGCTGATCCCGAGCTCCCCTCAGGACAGCCGGCCCAGGCACCAGCCCCGCTCCAGGCCCCACGCGCAGGGACCAGCCAGGCCCAGCAGGGGCAGAGGCACTGCGGTCTCGGGCTCAGCCCAGAGCGGCCGCCCCAGCTGCTGACGCCCCAGCTGCTGACGCCCACCCCCAGCGGCCAGATACAGGCGGGAGCAAGTGGGCAGGAGGCGCACCTGGCCAGCTCCCCTGCAAAGCCCCAGAAATCTCCAGCCCGGAAGGAATCTTCTGGCCCAGGGTGGGTGGGTGTCAGGCTACTCATGCTGAGACGGTCTATGGGGTGAAGGGGCCGTCCAGGAGCCACTGATGCGGGGCACCCCTCCCAGAGTACTGAGTGACCTCGCGGTGGGGTGGCGGGGCTGGGCCAGAGGGCGGGGGGCCCACGTCCTCTCCAAATGACGAGAACGTCCGGCACAGGAGCTGGGCCGGGGAGGCTCAGACACAGTGGCCCCCAGGGCCAGCACCCTTCCCAGGACGACAAGGCCTTGGGGGAAGGACGGGGTGCCCCCAGGAGGGGCATAGGTGACAACCACAACAGGGTGAAGTGTCGTGAAAACACAAGCTCCTGGTCACCGGCCCCTGGGGGCTGGAACCGCAGGATCCCTGGGGGGCTGGTGGGACCCGCAGGACAGCTGGTTGCCCCAGAAAGCAGACCACTCTGCGCGTGGTAAAGGGAGAGCCTGAGCCACCACGCAAGCCAGCTGGCTGCAGTGTCCAGTCCCCTGCGGCCCAGCGGGCCCCCAGGCCTGCTTCATCTCCTGGAAGCCCCCGGGGTGGACCTTCAGCAGACCCCGGCCGCGGGGCCATCCTCCCTGCCATGCGGGCACAGAACGTCACCCCAACGGCACCACTGCCCTGGGCAGAATCTGTCAACAGCTGACAGGGACCAGGGCAGCACCCAGACCCACTGACACGGCGCCCACCCAGGGGGCTCCGCTGGATACCCAGAAGCCCCGCTCCACGTCCAGGTCTTGTGAGGTCCCCCAGACTCCGAGCTCATCCCTCCTCCACACTGCCCACTCCGGCCGCCTACCTCGCCTCACCTAGAACTCGGGTCCCCAGAGCTTGCTCTACCCCAGCAGTCACGGAGCTCGGAAGTCCCTTGTCCACTGAGGCCTCCCTCAAATGCCAGCGCCGGACCCAGGCCACCCAAGGGACTCCGCTCCCCATGAGCCCTGCTCCCGGTACCCACGTTGCCTTGGAAGTGTGACAAGGACATTCCCTGAGCATGGAACCCCCTGGGGAGGTTGGGCATTTAGGCAGAACTGATGCCACATCTGCTATGAGGGCTCGCACATTACACACGGGGCACACGGGGCACTCCCAGGAGGGAGCCCCACACCCGCCCATACCATGGCCACAGCTCACAGCAGGCCTCTGAAGGGCAGGCTGGGGGCACACAGCCCTCAGGGGACGCACGTGTGGCCCAGTCCCCACCAGGGTCGAGCGGAGCACAGAAGGCGTGCAGAAGGCAGCCCTGAAGCCACCGATCAGTGGCCCTGGACAAGGAGACGCTCTGCAGGCCCAGCCCGGCTGGGCTCGGCACCGCGGGAGCCAGAGGGGGTCACCGTGGAGGGTCAGGGCAGCCAAGCCCCGTCCTCCCGCCTGCCGCGCAGGCCCCGTCATTCACTCCTCGGCCCTCGGCCGCACAAGCTCGTGTAAATCTCCCACGAAATAAACTTACGGCAGGAAGAAAAGCAATTGCTTCCTGTCAGGATGAAGCCTGGGCTTCCGTAGCCCTCGGGCTGCCACCCTGCCGTGGGGACAGCTTCTGGGAGCCCCACTCCACGCTGGTTCTCCCTGGGGGGTGGCGTGGTCCCTGTCGGGGAGGGGGTGCAGGTCCCAGGACTCCTCCCCAGGGCCAGGGGCTGGGTGGGAAAGTCCCCCAGGACCCCCCCAAGACCCCTCCCCACACTCCCCAGCCAACCAGCCTCTTGGCCCAGCCCTGGCCTGACCCCACTCATGGCCCCCGTCCAGCTACATCAAGGTACCCGTGACCCCTGGACATCCACCCCAGCCAAGGTGAGCTGCCCTCTGCCCACACAGACCCTCACCTGGAGGCCCTTCACCTCCTCGCCTGAGTAGCTCCCACCTCTCTCAGGCCCGCCCTGGCCTGGCCCCGTGATGCCCATGCCTTTCCTCCTGCCCCTGCCATCCTGGACCGTGGGCCCTGGGCTCAGCCCCACCCTGTAGCCCAGACAAGGGCCCAGAGAGCACCCGGGGCTTAGCCAGGAGCACCCTGGACTTAGCCAGGAGCACCCCATGACCAGCACTAGGAAGAGCAGAAGACGGGCTAGGTGGCCAGCGGCACGGGGGAGGGTGCCTGTGGGTCTCGGGGACAGCGGCCCCAGCACCCCTTCCCCTCCCACACTGAGACCTGCCCACAGAGACCACCACGGGGACACACCAGGCTGCAGTCCCCAGGAGACACACAGAGCGGGCGCAGGGAGGCGAAGGTGGATGGCTTCGATGTGTGAGTGCCCGCAGCAGGCCCAGCCAGCCTCCCCCGCACGGCGGGCGGCAGAGTGGAGCTCGGCAAGCCGAGGCCAGGGCGCTGCTGGGAGAGCCCCGTTTCCCTGGCTGGGGCCCAGCGATTCCCGCACAGTGGAGGGGCTGCCTGGCCGCCAGGCCCAGCCAAAGGGGACTTTGTTCACAGCCCCCTCCTCCCCCCGAGGGCAGTGATTTATTCTCCCTTCCAGGAGCAGCCGGCGGTGGCTGGCCCACAACCCCACCTCGCAGTGCCCGGCCTGGCTCCCGCACGTCCACCTCAGCCCCGCAGCGCTCTGGCCAGCCGCTGCCCGGCGGAGGTGGGGGCAGACGGAGGCCCCCTGCAGCCTGGCTGGAGGCCAGGTCAGCCAGCGCACACGCACACTGCTACCATCATCGATGGCCACACACCTTCCCACTGCCGCGCGCATCGGCAGACCCTCCCTGGCACAGCCCTGACATCGGTCGGCCCCGAGACTGTCCTCCCCGCGAGACTGGGCGCCCACATGCTGGCCAGCACCCAGCCTCCTGGGATCAAGGTTCAGCCCACCCAGGGCACGCTGGCTGGTCCAGAGGACAGGGAAGTGACCTCAGGGGCTGGCTGCTCAGAGCCCACTCCACTGAGCCATCCCTGGAAAAGTTCGAACGTGGCACTTCTCAGAAAACCCTGAGACAACTTCGTACGAGTTATTTGTGAAAAGCATTTCGTTCTGAACCTCTTGAGCTCCCACTGTGAGAAATAAAATAGAAAGGGAAAAAGCCAAATCCGATCTTTTCTCAAATTTGAGAAAAACAGTTCAAGACAAACCCACCAAGATTGTGAAACTTTGGGAAAGGGGAACTTTGAAAACATGATCCGAGTCTAGGGGTGTGCCGGTTCCAGAAACTGTGACACCGCGGGACACGGCTTGCAGAAGGCCCCAACCCCCGCCCTGGTCTGCCAGCCTGAAGGAGGGCCACGCAGGGCCTGCTCCCTGGGGAGAGGGGGTAGGGGGCCCCAAGAAGCCAGCACAATCCAGGAAGAGCACCCCCACCCCCCCAAAACCACAGAGGCCCTGCCCTTGGACAGCAGCACTCAGCTCCCCCACCGCTGCCAGGCCCACGCTGCAGAGCCAAGGCCCACGGGGCTGGACACCAGGCACAGCCCAAGGCCACAGCCAAGGGGCACAGAGCAGGGTGTGGGGCCTCTGGGGCCCCTCAGCGCCAACTGAGGCCCTGCTGTCCACTGCCATCCGCTGCCCCTTGCCATCTCCCACTCCACCTCAGGTTCCAGCCAATGACCAGGCAAGGACAGCAGCCTCCAGAGCCTCCCTGGCCAAATGGCTAGGGGACAGGCAGGTGTGGAGACAGGGTAGTCCAAATAAAAGAGGAATCAGGGTCTGGGTCGTCGGCCACAGGGGGACTTTGCTGGGCATGACCCAAGTGGCCGCATTGCCCAGGACGTTGTCCAGCTCTGCCATGGCTAGGCAGCCCCCACCCTCAAGATGGCCGGCCAGTGCCGGGCCAGTCATTGCCCAGCAGGGCACATGGGAAGGGGGGGTACCTGGGCCGCCGCCCGCCACCCAACACCCGAATGTGGCCATATAAGGCTGGGTTGGGCTTGGTGCGCCCGCTGGGCGGCAGGGGAGGGTTGCGAAGCCTCAGAGGACTGGTGGACAGGGCAAGGACGATCCTGAGTGGTCAGCACACCGAAAGGGCTGGCCTGGGCACAGGTCCCGCCTAGCTGAGGGGAGGCCAGCAACAGACCATGGTGGGCAAGAGCCTGCAGGCGCCATCACCCACCAGCTGAAGATGCCCTCACTTGCTAGGGCTGGGGACTGGGGTTAGGGTCCCTCAGGAGGCATCCCAGGCCCACCCACACGACGTCAGATGTGTGAGCACCGGCCTGGCCTTGCTGTGGCACAGGCCAAGACACACGGTGTGGCCTGTAGTAAGTGGTCCTTGGGGTCCGCCTTGAAATGGGCCCCGTGCCACCCAGTGCAGTGTCCTATGAGCCAGGGACGCCGTCCCCTGCTGCTGCTCTCTACCTCCCGGGGGACGGGCAGGCCTGGGGCACAGGGTTGGGTCATGAGTCCCAGATACCAAGAATATCCCCATGGTCCCCACACTCCACCCTGGCCACTATGGAGGCCTCTGCAGGTTCCCGGCAGCCTAATTGGGTCCAGTGTGCCCAAGCAGCCTACCCCCAAGAATCAAGGTGACCAGCTGCCCTCAACTGCAGTTACTTGTGTGGATATGCATGTGGCGGTGTCCAGAGCCCACCCTGCTAGCAAGCCCACAGGTGCAGTAGGGGTGCCCTGAGGGTGAGGAGGGACCCTATGGGTGACCCAAGGGTAAGGAGGGCCCTGCAGGTGAGCTTGGGGTGCCCCAAGGTTGAGAGGGCACCCTGTGGGTGAACTTGGGGTGCTGCATGGGTGAGGGGGGTCCCATGGGTGAACTGGACTACCCTGTGGGCTACCTGGGGCGCCCCGCCAGTGAGGGGCCTTGAGCTCAGGGCCAGCAGGGGCGGGGCGCAGGCACGCGCCAGGCGGGCACTGGGGCAGGGTTGAGGGCCGGAGGGAAAGGGGCGGCGCTGGCGGAGGCCAGGGCGCCGGGCTGGGCGCCAGGACTCACCTCGGGCGGCGGCGGCCGGCGGGAGGGCCCCCAGCAGTAGCGGCGGCAGCAGCAGCAGCAGCAACGCGGGACTCGGCGTCATCTCGGCCGGTGCGGTGCGGGCCCGCGCTCCGGGCGCAGGAAGCGGCGGCGGGGAGACCGTGGGTATCAAAGCAGACAAAGGGTTTACACTAATTACCGCCTCCCGCCGCCCCCTCTCCAAGCACCGTCTGGATTCCTGGCGCTTGTAACTCGGGCCTGCCCGCGGGACACACAACACCGGCGGCCCCGCAGATAATCGCCTGCGCCATTAGCGGACAAATTTGCGCTAGGGGGGGCCACGTGGGGTGCCGGGCAGGGGCGGGGCGCGCAGGACCCCGGAGCGGCCAGGAGAGGCGGCGGCGACTCTGGGCAAATGCAAAGCAACTCAGCATGTCAGGTGGTCTAAGGCAGGTAGCATGGGGCTGGCAGCACAGCATCCCTGGCAGGGACCCTGCTTTGGAGAGGGGTCAGCCACATGAGGCCCAGGGCTCAGGAGCTGCAGGACACAGGGCCACAGAGAGGGTCTCCTGGACCCCACGTCGGGCCCCCTCGCGGGCCAGGGTGGGGGGAGA